CAAAGTTCGCCCATGCCTGTTATATAAGGATGAAAGCATCCATTTTTCTCTCTCCTGTGTGACTCAGTGCGAGTATCTGCCTGCATTTTATGTGATTATCTGATGACAGTGATTGTTTGCATGTACAAAGAATGAGAATCTGAGAGTCCTTAAGTGGCAGAGGGGGAAAAGGAAAGGACCTGACACTGTTAGGAATTGTGGGAGCTGAAGTCCAAAACACCTGAAGGGTCCAAGTTTGCCCATGCCTGAATTATATAATTACACATACCTTCTTCATTCAAATGTGAAGTCTATGTACTTCCATTTGCAGTTATGTTTTCAGATTTGATTTTTGTTTTGTTAATATACAGTGGACTCTCAGTTAACCGGAACTCTAAAGCAATTCAAGCAGTTATCCGTACTGCAGTCTCAAAGCTGTTTTTAGAATACAAAAAAATCCAGTGAATCATAGAATCAAAGAGTTGGAAGAGACCTCATGGGCCATCCAGTCCAACCCCTTGCCAAGAAGCAGGAATATTGCATTCAAAGCACCCCTGACAGATGGCCATCCAGCCTCTGTTTAAAAGCTTCCAAAGAAGGAGCCTCCACCACACTCCCTCTGGGGCAGAGAGTTCCACTGCTGAACGGCTCTCACAGTCAGGAAGTTCTTCCTCATGTTCAGATGGAATCTCCTTTCTTGTAGTTTGAAGCCATTGTGACATTAACTTTGTCTTAACTTGCTGTTTTGCAATATTAATACGAAGTCAGTACAGAGTTTATGGTATGGTGCAATATGTGGTATAGTATTATTTTTAATAGCAACTCTCGGGCAACTAGAAATGACATTTATCTGGCATCTAATTCCAATAGGTACTGGTTAATTGAGAGTCTACTCTGATCATATATATAGGAAGCAGCAGGGCACCAATGGTTGGCCTTTCTATGGCACAAAAACAAGGACTGCAAAAACATTTCATAACATTTTTTTTCCAAACTCAAAGTACTCCCATTGTAAGTTTTTGCCTTTCTTTTCCATTGCTGGCTCCAGAGGATGCTGGGTGTTGTTGCCCCCTCCCACAGAAACCTCACCCAGGCTCTGCGAGGAAGCGTTGTGAAGTTTGTGCTTGAAGTCGGAAGAAAGAGAGACGGAGCCAGGAGAAAAAACACTGGCCCCGACTCCATGGTTGTGGGTCAGACCCTGCGGCAGGTTTGATCCTGCCCCAAGGTTCTGGAACCTGAGGAAAGTTACTTTTTATATATATTATATATAATTTTTTTGCCTGAAAAGTTTGTAAACTCTGAGTAGTTCGTGAGGCCAAACTGGTCCCCATGGGCAAGAGATAGGGCCCCTTCGGGCAAGGCGAGAAAAATAGCCAGTCCAGGAACCTGAACTGGAAAGGGCAGAAAAGATAGATAGATAGATAGATAGATAGATAGATAGATAGATAGATCGATAGATAGATAGATAGATAGATAGATAGATAGATAGATAGATAGATAGATAGGAGGACAGATAGATAGACAAACAGACAGACAGACAGCGGCATAGACTTCAGAAGAGGCTGGCATTGCAAAAAAGGGCATCTCTGTGCATGGCTGGGTAATGGCCAGGCGCAATCCGCACCTGGTTTCTGTGTCTATTTGGAAAAAGGCTCGCCATCTCCATTTCAAATTTGTATTTTTGCAGACTTACAATCCTTGATACCCAAGGCCTGTCCTGCGAGGGCCCCAGAACTCAGTTTCAGAGCCTTCGTGCCCTGAGATTTGTGACACTGTAAGAGGCAAGAGGACCTTGAAGCATGTGCAGAGTGCTTTCTTCACACATACATACATGTATAGACAATAAAGCAAACAGGGGTTACCGAGGCTGAAGGTTTAGGAGAAGGAAAGGCAGGGCTTCCGGGTCCAAGAGCATGACGTGACAGCGCTATTTGTGCTAAACTACAACTCCCTGACCCACAGCTGGAAATGCAAAATGTTACCAAGGATGATGGGCCTTGAAACTCAACTTAACTTGAGGGAATATGGCTGGAGAAGATCCCCACCAACCCAAGCTATTTGTTGTCAGTTTTTTGGGCTATATGGCCATGTTCTAAAGGCATTTTCTCCTGACATTTCACCTGCATCTATGGCAAGCATCCTCAGAGGTAGTGAAAGCCTTCGACAATACATCAAGCTATTTGCGTTACATCACAAATAGCTTGAGTTGGTAACAGCCGGTAGGTAGGCTGCTAGGAATTGTGGGAGTTGAAGTCCATAACACCTGGAGGGCTCATGTGCCTATGCCTGCTATATAAGGAGAATGAAAGAATCCATCTTTCTCTCTCCTGTGTGACTCAGTGCGAGTATCACTGGTTTAGAGACAGTCCCCAATATCCAAGATATTCTCACAATTGTGATCATCCAGCTAAGTAAGTGATTTCAGCCCTTGCCAAGACATGTCTTTTGCACAGCTAATGTCTCTTACTTGTCTTGTTAAGAGCAAAGGTGAATCTACAACATAGAATCAATGGATTTTGGCACAACTTGAACTGCCAGGACTCCTGCTATGGCATCCTGGAGGTCGTAGTTTGGTGAGACGCCGCCACTAAAGGCCTTGTGAAACTACAACTCCCAGGGTTCCATTGCATTGAGCCACAGTGGTGCAAAGCTGCATTAATTCCAGAATGTAGATGCAAACTAAGGCTGACTTCTTCGGGTTTTCTGAGACTGTAGCGAGTGCAAAACAAAACAAAATGCTTTTTAGGAGTCAAATCTGCATTCTGGCCAACACATTCACCTTGCATGATATCCAAGCGATCACAGTAAACCGTAATCTGTTGCTTGTCTTACAAAAGTTGAACACAGTGGCACTAGAAACTCTTCAAATGCCTTGCAAAGTGTTTTATGGAGAAATCTTGAGGGTCTCGAGGTCAACTTAATGGTCAAGATCTAGCAGAAAGTGACCACAGAGTCAAGCAGGATGACCTAGATGATGTACTAATCAATTTTTCCATAATTAAACCTGCAAATCTGGAGGGCCGGCTGTTTTTTCTAGCAGCAAAGCCGGAGAGCTCTAGTACCAGGAGGGAAGGCTAAGCCCCTGAACAAACTACAAATCCCAGAATTTCATAAAAGGGAGAATATGATAGATTTCAAGTGGCATCAAATGGCTATAACTAAGCCATATGGGTATATAGTAAAAACGAAGCACCAATATAAGGAGGCTGGAAAATTCTAGCTCAAGCCTGTATGCAAATGAAGCACACTTGCATATTGATATAAGTCCTTATTAGCATAATTCATATGGCTCAGTTTCAAGGAGTGTTATTTTTGGACTAAAATGCCCAGACTGTTCCCAATCTAGGATGGCTAAAGGATTCTTGGGAGTTGTGGTACATAAAGTAACTTTCCCAAGGATTCCTTGATGCCTCCTTCATACAAAGCAAGGCATTACAAAAGGAAGCTTGGAAAAGTTACTTCTTTAGAGATGGTGCACCTTCAGAAGTGCATCTACACTGTAGAATTAACACAGTTTGATACCTCTTTAACTACTAGGGCTCAATGCTATGGAGTCATAGTTGGGAGTTGTAGTTGGGCGAGATGCAATCACAACCAGGCCTTGGAAAACTACAAATCCTATTGTTCCATAACATTGAGGCATGGCAGTTAAAATTGGCATCAAACCGCATTAATTCTACCGTGTAAACACATCCCACGGGAAACCGGTGCCTTTAAGCAGCCAATCCCAGCAGCAAGCCTGAGAATTCCTAGAAATCTGGAAAACGTAGTGAGGTTTCTAAGATTAGCAAATATAATTAGCCAAATTGCTATGGCTAAAAAAAGCCAAGGGATGGAGAAAGCTCCAGGGAAGGAATGGGAGAAAGGGAAGAAAATAAATCCTGCACTGACTTGAGGGAAGTTAATTTTAAGGGTGCAAATAGACAAACTGAAGGACAGTGATGCCACCCAAAGGCAAGCATGCTGGGCTCCATCTTCACCACTTGGAAGGCCCATGATTTATAATATTCAGAATTCCTCCCTAGAAGTAATAGCTGAAAACATGCACATCTGAGCATGTGCAGAGTATCTATCCATCTATCTACCTATCACCATCCATTTTATAATATTTCCATAACTGGCACCTTTTTTTAACCATCAAAGAAATTCTCCTCTTTAATTATATGCAGATTTGCAGATGTAGAAGAACTGCAACTCCCAGTACGCCCAGTCAGCATAAGCATATGGTGCGGACACTGGGAGTTCAAGTCTAAGAGAATCCAGAGTGCATCTACACTGGATAATGAATTCAGTTAGACACCACGTTAACTGCCATGGCTCTATGCTACAGAATCATGGGAGATGTAGTTTGACAAGATCGATTCCGCCTTCTCTGCTAAAGAGTGCTGGTTCCTGACTAAAGTACAATTTGGTATTTATTTAATTCTGGTTGGAGTTTTTGATTGGAGAACATCCCATCCCACAGTCTCCTAGATCCACTTTCCTCAACCTAAATCTTGCCATACTGTTTGTGGCCAAACATTCACCCCTTGTGAGCAATGGCCAGGGATGATGGGAGTGGCAATTCAAATTATATGAAAGGGGCCAGTTCAAGGAGTCAGAATTCCCCCAAAGGTCATCTAGTCCAACCCCTGGCCATGGAGGTTCCTAAAAGCCACCAGATATTTGACACTGACCCTTATTTTTGAGGTCATCAGGCAGCAATTTCACATTATATTGCATAAAATACATAGACTTCATAGAGAAAGAGAGGCCTAAGAGTGATGTAAACATTCCAATGTCTCCCTTTCTTGTACGGAGCTCTCCATTTGCTACCAAAGGTATTGAAACCTGCCCTGTTTTGGATTTTGGGTCAAGTCACTGAAGCCAATGTTCTGGCCAAACAGCATCCTGAACTCTATTCTCACCTCTGCAAGCCTCCAAATTCCAGAAGCCAGCTAAGTAGATAGGGATTCTGGGAGCTGAAGTCCAAATCATCTGAAGGACCAAAGTTTGGGAATCACCGCTATCAATGGATCAGCTCTGCGCAACTAGTGTCAAAATATGAGATCCAAAATGGGTTTTCATAAACCTTCCACTCTTTAAACCATTTGCAAATGTTTTGTGGCCAGAATGCACATTTGACGGAAAAGTTCTGTTTTTGGTCCTTTGGCATTTTGTTGATTTAGAATAAAGACAACAAACGCAGCATAACATCTGATCTAAAATGCCTCTGAAGGGTAATATACATTTCAACATCAGTTTTTGTTTTCTTGGTTTCCTGCAAAGAACCTGGGAATGGCCCTTTGAGATGTGCCAAAGGCTGGAAAACTACAATTCCCAGGGCTTCTGGGGAAACCATAGAATGTGAATCTGGTTTGAAACTCTTCCTATGTGCCAAGCCCTTCCCAGCCTCTCCAGGAGAAATCTAGCCAAAAATACAGTCGGTGAATGCCACCTTCTGGCCACCCTCTAAACTCCTGAGAGATGCCACTTTTGGGGGAACCTGCCTTTTGGTACTCTGTGCCTCTGGACCAAAGAGGCAGGACTCAAGGGAAGCATCTCCCATGAGAGGAGATGGGAAGAAGGGACCCTCGCTTGTCTAGATGCAGCCCCTTACCTCTCTTTCCAGCAAACGGTGCTCCGCAAACTGGTGCGCAGACGGTGCCACCATCTCCCATCCGGCAACAAGCCTGCCGCCACACGGGAACAGTGCCCGCTGGCACCGCGTAGCATCTGCCTTCTCTCTGGATGGCAAGAGCGGATGGAAAGGGAGCTGCGAGCCAGCCATGGGGATGTCTCCTATCCTCAAGGTTTCGCTGCAAACCTTTCACTGATTTGACCTTCAGTGAAAGTCACAGCCTTCCAAGAGGGATGGGAGTCATGTTCACTCATTTCCAGGTGTGGGCCAGGCGAGGCTGGGCTTCCTGAGCCAGGACCTCTTCAGGGAAACCCTCAATTTTTCAATCAAGGAAAATAGGACAGGGCACAAGAGGGAGTGGCAGGTAGATAATGCCAATGAAATGACAAGTGGTGCTATTTCTCCTCTCTCCCTTCCAATGCAATCTTGCAAAAGGAAGGCGGCCCATGACTTCTGCCGATGGCACACCTCTGGCAAAGAAAGAGGTAAACATAAACAAGGGAATTCCTTTTGGGGAGGCAAGGCAAAGCTGCCACGAACGAGAAAAGAAAAGAGAGAGGCGCCTGCGTGCCGTGCCTCCTCGGATCCACGTGCGCACCACGTGTGCGCAACTTTGCCTTCGCTCTCCCCAAAAGCGAACCCTTCCTGGCTCCTGGAATGAGACTTCCGTGCATCACGGCGACACACGAAAAGTCTCGCGCAACGAGGACCCGGAAGCCCTACCCACCCCGGGTGCTGGAGACGGGCACTGCTGCAAAATGGCCCTTGGCATCATCTCCGAAACGGGACGCCGTGCAACAGGAGAGCTTTTCCCCCTTTCTGCCTTTCCCTGGGAGCCATTTCGAATGGAGGAGAAAGGAAGAAGGGTGTGTGAGTGGGGAATAGAAATAATAAATGGAAGACTGTCCAAAGAGAAGCGTGGAAATGGTACCGGGAACCAGAGCCACCGGATGGACGGACGGCCGGCCAGCCAGAGAAGGTGTGAAGAAGGAGCAGGGGGAGCTGAGAGAAGGGGACGTGGGCAGAAGACAGGGAAGGCGGTGGGCTTGGGGCAGAGAGGGAGGGGGTCTCTCTCAGCCATGGATGGCGGCGGAGCTGGGAAGCAGCTGCAAGGACGAGAGGAAGAGGGGGAGCCGTGGCGGGTGTGTGGGTGTGTGGCAGGGGAAATGGCTGGAGAGGTTTGCAATGAAAAACCTGATTAGACAGTCACATTTCATGGTCAAATAGACACTGCCAGGACCTCTCTGCCTCCCTTCTCCGTGGGGTTTGGAGCCGAGAGAGGCGACGAGATGCCCAAGCCCCACCGCGGCAAGCCAAGCCGGCAGCAGACGCCGGCAAAGTGGGTGTGTGCTGAACAGGGGGATGGGCTGATGGAAAGAAAGCTTGCCTTTGAATGCAGCCAAGGCAAGCGGGGAAAATGGAGAATACCTGATTCCTGCATGTAAACAGCTGGGATTCTTTTTTCTTTCTTTTGATATATAACCTGATTGCGGAGAAAATGAGAGTTACCTGGTGGCTGCTCAGTATGTAAAGACCAAGTCCGAGATACTGGACATCAGCCAGTCCCCGGCAATCATCTCAGTCACCTCCGGGGTGCAATAGTCCGGGAACTCAAAGTGAGAGGCGGTCCCCAAGGGGAAGAGGTCAAGGTCTTTGTCGAAGACGGACCAGTCCGGGGTCCCACAGGGCACCACCACGCTAGGCTGGGCTCGGCTGGGCAGGAAACTCAAGAGCTCTTCTTCCAGCTCTTCGTCCGAAGAGGCGAAGGAAGACGGAGGCGACCGGGTGGATGCTGGGGATGAGATCTCGGAGGACCTCGCCTCGTCCAAGAAGGGCTTGGCCAACCCGGCAGTGTCATGGTCTTTTAGCTCTCCGGAGTTGGACGCCCACCCTGCTTTCTCACCGACAGCAGGCAACACGTGCCAGAACTCCTTGCCAGGCAATTTCGGGCTGTCGTCCAAAGAGGTCTCCAGGAGCCGCACCTCCAGGGGGTCGTCATCGTCGTCTTCCAGCTCGGGCGTCGACCGTCCCACCTGGCCGCCAGCCCCGGCATCTGGCTTTGGTGACTGCCTTCGGGCGGAGGCCACCCGGCCCAGGACAGAGGGCTTGATCTTGACAGGGACCCTCGGGCGGGACTTGCCATTCCCCAGCTTCCCTTTCTTCCGGGGCCGGTACTTGTAGTCGGGATAGTCGGCCATGTGCTTCAGTCGCAGGCGCTCTGCCTCCTTGACGAACGGGATCTTCTCCGAGTCCTGGAGGAGTTGCCAGCGCCGGCCGAGGCGCTTGGAGATCTCGGCGTTGTGCATGTCCGGCCACTGGTCCATGATCTTCCGCCGCTCGTTCTGGGACCAGACCATGAAGGCGTTCATGGGGCGCTTGATGTGCCCGCTGGGAGTCTTGCACCACCCGGGCTCTCCTTTGGCATCCTTCAGGAGCAAGGGGTCTTTGGGGCACACCTCCCGCTTGGTGTCCGTGCTCCGGTTCCTCACGCTCCTTTGCTGGACCATTCTGCCTACGGCGCTCTTTTCTCCCGCCGTCTGTTCCTCGAGTGGCTTCCTCGTTCTTCTTCTCACCCCAAACCGAGGGTTATTTTCTCATCGTTTGCCGCCGGAGGAGGGATCCGGCGCGACGCAGAAGCAATCCCCTCTGCTTTGCCGGCGAGCGCTTTCCGCCTGGTCCACGCCCCCCTTTTAACTCAGTCTCTGGAAGCCGCTCAGTCTCTCGCTGGCAAATTGACAGAAGCGCCTGTGGCACCTTCTTGGCTGGGCAGACGCCAGACAGACGGGCGGACCGGCGAGCGGAGAGCCCTCCTTTGCTTCCCACCTCTGCGAAGAAAAGGCGTAGAGCGGGCGGGCAGTGGGTGTCAGTGCCAGGCTGGGGGCTCCTCTGTGCTCAGCATCACGCCTTCTCTCGCTCTTTGATGTCCGGCCCTTGGGATAGGAAAAAAGGAAGAGAGACGGAGCAGAGAATGAATGGACGGGTGTGTGGGTGAAGGAAGGGGCTCCCAGCCTCTGGGGTGCCCTCCACACCTCCTTCCTTCCTTCCTTCTTTGCTTCCTTGCTTGGCTGGCTTAGCCCAGGCTGCTCACGCCCACCTCCTCCGGCTCTTGCTCCTCCGTCTCTCCCCTCCTCTCTCCTCTTCGCTGCCTTCTCTTATAGCCCATCCTTGCTGACAGCCCCTTCCTCCTCCACCTCCTCGTTCCCCCTCCCCTCCCAGGCTCGCTCCTCGGCCCCTCCCCTCCTGGAAAAGGGAGGGAGGGGGAGCCGGCACGCATTGCTGCTCGGAGTAAACACCAAGGTGCTTATTCTGTCAATGGGAGACCCCGCCTCGCTGGCCACGTCACTGGTTGCGGGGCAGGAACGGGGCATTTGCATCCCCCAATCCGAGAGGAGTTGCTGGAGAGAATGTCAAAAACTTTCTCCCCGCTCCCCAACAAAGGGTGCCCACCCAACCTTCCCTGGCATGTGATCCCAGCCCTGGCTCTGTCTCCTTTTGCAACCAACCCCCCCCCCCCCCAAGTCCTGATCCCATCATCCCCAAGATGGGTCTTTGTCTGCTTTTGCAGTCAAGTTCATTTGCAGGACTGGGCTGTAGCCTTCTTACCTAGGTTGCAGATACCATAGATGAATCAGGTATGGAAACTCAGGGAAGGAATTCCACATTCCTAAAAGGATGCAAAATTGAATTCACAAGGAGAAAAAGGCATTTTGAAAAATCCCCCAGGACACCAACCCACCAGCATCCACACTTAGAATCATAGAATCAAAGAGTTGGAAGAGACCTCATGGGCCATCCAGTCCAACCCCATTCTGCCAAGAAGCAGAATATTGCATTCAAATCACCCCTGACAGATGGCCATCCAGCCTCTGTTTAAAAGCTTCCAAAGACGGAGCCTCCACCACACTCCGGGGCAGAGAGTTCCACTGCTGAACGGCTCTCACAGTCAGGAAGTTCTTCCTCATGTTCAGATGGAATCTCCTTCTTGTAGTTTGAAGCCATTGTTCTGCGTCCTAGTCTCCAGGGAAGCAGAAAACAAGCTTGCTCCCTCCTCCCTTTGGCTTCCTCTCACATATTTATACATGGCTATCATATCTCCTCTCAGCCTTCTCTTCTTCAGGCTAAACATGCCCAGCTCCTTAAGCCGCTCCTCATAGGGCTTGTTCTCCAGACCCTTGATCATTTTAGTCACCGTCCTCTGGACACATTCCAGCTTGTCAATATCTCTCTTGAATTGTGGTGCCCAGAATTGGACATAATATTCCAGATGTGGTCTAACCTTGCCTAATATTATATTATAATATCATATAGTAAAGGTAAATGTTTTCCCCTGACATTAAGTCTAGTCGTGTCTGAGTCTGGGGGTTGGTGCCCGTCTCCATTTCTAAGCCGAAGAGCCGGCGTTGTCCTTAGACACCTCCAAGGTCATGTGGCCAGCATGTCTTCATGGAGCGCTGTTACCTTCCCGGTGGAGTGGTACCTATTGATCCACTCACATTTGCATGTTTTCGAACTGCTAGGTTGGCAGAAGCTGGGGCTAACAGCAGGAGCTCACCCCGCTCCCCGGATTCGAACCTGCAACCTTTCGGTCAGCAAGTTCAGCAGCTCAGCACTTTAACTCATTGCACCACTGAGGGCTCCTTGTATCATATATATAATAACATTATATATAGATTGATTGATTGATTGATAGATAGATAGAGATAGATAGAGAGAGATAGTGATAGAGATAGATAGATAGATAGATAGATAGATAGATAGATAGATAGAGATAGATAGATAGATAGATAGATAGATAGATAGATAGATAGAGTCGTGTCAGGAGTTGCTCCTGTTGTGAGAGAATTGGCCGTCTGCAAGGACGTTGCCCAGGGGACGCCCGGATGATTTTTGATGTTTTAATCATCCTTGTGGGAGGCTTCTCTCATGTCCGCGCATGAGGAACTGGAGCTGATAAAGGGAGCTCATCCGCCTCTCCCTGGATTATAATAATAATGCATATATGTGTTGTCGAAGGCTTTCATGGCCAGAATCACTGGATTGCTGTGGCTTTATGGCCATGTTCCAGAAGCATTCTTTCCTGACATTTCACCCACCAGTAATAAAAAAACCCTCTAAAATGAGGACAGTATATATAGAGGAATGCTCAAAAAGCAGGGAATTCAGGGCAAGAATCAATCAGGGCCTGCTAACGCCTCCCAACAAAGGATTCCCCAGGCAGGAAGCAGCCAGGCTTTGAAGCTGCAAGGCCATTAAATGCTAATCAAGGTAGCCAATTGCAACATTCACACTTGCCTCAAACAGACAAGAGTTCTTTCTCCCACTGTGGACATTTCACTGATATATAAACCTCACTTGCCTAGATTCCAACAGACCTCTCAACCTCTGAAAATGCCTGCCAGAGATGTAAGCAAAATGTCAGGAGAGAATGCTTCTGGAACATGGCCATACAGCCCGAAAAACGCACAGCAACCCAATAATGTATATAAAATAGAATATAATATATAATAATAATGCAGATGCACCAGAAGACACAGGGGGTTCCAAGCCACCTATTAAGGTTGATAAAAATATATCCAACATATCTGTGTTCTCAAATAAATAGGCTGTGTCCAGGTTGGTTCATCAGGTGCTCTGCTATTGCTGACTTCTCTGGTTGAATCAGTCTGCAGTGCCTTTCATGTTTCTTGATTCATGTTTGGGCAATGCTGCTGCCCCTTTGTAGTCCCCGCCAGGCAGCAACCAGCCAGGCTTTGAAGCTGCAAGGCCATTTAATGCTAATCAAGCTGCAGTGCCTTTCATGGTCTTTGATTCATGTTTGGGCGCCATGTTTATTAGTCCCTATATAGTCCACCGGGCAGCAACCAGCCAGGCTTTGAAGCTGCAAGGCCATTACATTCTTATCGGTTTTATTATTTAGTGAATTATATCTATGTTAAATGTTTTAACTGTTTTTATATTATTGTGGGCATCAAATTGTGCTGTTTTGTGAACTGCCCTGAGTCGCCTTCAGGCTGAGAATGGTGATATAGAAATATAGTAAATAAATAAATAAATATGGCCATGTTCTAGAGGCATTCTCTCCTGACGTTTCACCTGCATCTGTGGCAAGCATCCTCAGTTGAAACATTCACATCTAGCTCCAACAGACAAGAGTCCTTTGTCCCACCCTGGTCATTCCTCAGATATATAAACCCCTTTTCCCTACTTCCAACAGACCTCACTACCTCTGAGGATGCTTGCCAAAGATGCAGGCGAAATGTCAGGGGAGAATGCCTCTAGACCATGGCCATATAACCCGAAAAAACCTACAACAACCCAGTGATTCCGGCCATGGAAGCCTTCGACAATAAAATAAATAAATAAATAAATAACAACCAAGGTGGCCAATTGCAACATTCACACTTGCCTCCAACAGACAAGAGTCCTTTCTCCCACCGTGGACATTATTCCACTGATATATATAGAAATCTCACTTGCCTAGCTTCCAACAGACCTCACAATCTCTGAGGATGCCTGCCATAGATGTGGGTGAAACATCAGGAGAGAATGCTTCTGGAACATGGCCAGACAGCTCAGAAAACTCACAGCAACCCAGTGATTCCGGCCACGAAAGCCTTCGACAACACAGTATTAAAAACAATTCAGATTACATCTATAAAAACCCATAAAACAATTTGTATGCCACCAGCATCCAGGACAAAGAGCATCATAGGTGGAAGTTGGCCATAGAAGACCTACAAATTGCTAGAGGGAACATTTTAGTTCAATCTGTAAACGATCCTATCAGCAACAAACAAACAAACAAACCCACAATTGCAGGACAATTGTATTTGGGCATCCACACAACTCCCCTGCTAAGTAGGCTGTTGTGATTTCTCTGTATTGCAAATTGGGGGCAATAAAAGTCAAGGGGAAGGAATGTGGTTTATATATATATATATATATATATATATATATATATATATATATATTCACCAATGCTTCCTCTTTATCCTGGAAAGAAGTGACGAGTGGAGTGCCGAGTGGAGTGCGCAGGGTTCCGTCCTGGGCCCGGTCCTGTTGGACAGATTAGAGAGATGATGGGCCAAAACTAACAAAATGAAGTTCAACAGGGACAAATGCAAGATACTCCACTTAGGCAGGAAAAACGAAATGCAAAGAGACAGGATGTGTGAAAAAGATCTTGGAGTCCTCGTGGACAACAAGTTACACATGAGCCACCAATGTGATGTGGTGGCAAAAAAAGCCAGTGGGATTTTGGCCTGCATCAATAGGAGCATAGTGTCTAGATCTAGGGAAGTCATGCTCCCCTGCTCTATTCCGCTTTGGTTAGACCACACCTGGAATATTGTGTCCAATTCTGGGCACCACAATTCAAGAGAGATATTGACAAGCTGGAATGTGTCCAGAGGAGGGCGACTAAAATGATCAAGGGTCTGGAGAACAAGCCCTATGAGGAGTGGCTTAAGGAGCTGGGCATGTTTAGCCTGAAGAAGAGAAGGCTGAGAGGAGATATGATAGCCATGTATAAATATGTGAGAGGAAGCCACAGGGAGGAGGGAGCAAGCTTGTTTCTGCTTCCCTGGAGACTAGGATGCGAAACAATGGCTTCAAACTACAAGAAAGGAGATTCCATCTGAACATGAGGAAGAACTTCCTGACTGTGAGAGCCGTTCAGCAGTGGAACTCTCTGCCCCGGAGTGTGGTGGAGGCTCCTTCTTTGGAAGCTTTTAAACAGAAGCTGGATGGCCATCTGTCAGGGGTGATTTGAATACAATATTCCTGCTTCTTGGCAGAATGGGGTTGGACTGGATGGCCCATGAGGTCTCTTCCAACTCTAGGATTCTACGATTCTATGAAATGTTAAACATTAAAAATCTATTTAAAAAGCAAACCGCCCCTCCTGGCAATTCAGGCAACAATCACAATCACAATAATTGTATTTATAGTCCAGTCCTGGGACTCTTTTCTTGTCATCATCGCCCTGCTTTTATCTCGACTGAGTTGCAAAGTGGCTCACAACATTAAAAGAAACCCCACAACACACAAATATTAAAACAGAATTAAACACACCAGTCAATTAAAATCCCTTAAAGCACCTAAAAATTAAGAAGAACTATTAAAATAACCCAAATACCCTAGAGCACCTCCCTGGTTTG